GACCTTTATGTCAGCGCTCACAATGATGCAAACTGGGATTCACATTTTCCGGAATAGTTGACAGTCATTGTTGAGGAGCCATTTTAAAGCACATAACGTGTAATTTCCAAATTTTGAAAGAGTTCTTTTTGACCTTCTCATATGAGTACAGCCGTAAAGATTATGTTGGCAGAAGAAACGTCCCCAACCAAAATATTTAGGTAGTAGCCCAATGTAAACATAACGTAGAATAATTTGTGTTAACCTGTTGGTCAGTTTAGTTATATTTCTGTACCTAGCACGTATCAGTTTACTTTGCTCAGAGCCTTTTGCTTTGGCAACCAAGGTCATACACATTCAGCTGCCAATGCACGACAAAGAATCAACGTAAATAAAAGGAAACTTTGAATAAAATAGTATCGTTTCTCAGTGGGCTGATGTAGTGCAGTATGTTTTACGATCAACTTTGCTAGCTTTCCCACCAATGCAGTAGGCGCCTCTGATGAGCCCGAAAAATGAAGCAGTGCGAAATTGTAAAGACAAACTCCTAGGTCCAGATATAATCCTCGAACAATGTAGAACGTTGAGCCGGGCTGGAATGGTCATAGAATCAGGATAGTCGAAGCCTCACTGGCATTGAACTGCACTTGTGCGTAATCAGCTAATATAGCGGTAAACCCACGAAACAGAGATATCACAAGACAGGAACTTCGAACCATGTTCATCGTTTGCGGTATGATCAAAAGAACAGACACACTGCCCAACTTCCCGATTTCTATCGCTTTGCTATTTCTCTTTTGTGAATCAAATTATCTCAGACGGTTCTGCTTTTGATGCATATGACTTCAATGGAGACCTTTTTGGTTTCGACTCACTGCAGGATGCAGTCATCGTCGGTAGCATATTTGATTTGACTAGCAGACCCGTTCAAGTTGAGTACTATTATAACCTCATGTTTGCCCACAAGTTGACACAAGCTGCCTGGTGCTAATTCGTATCCACCAATCAGGCAAATTTAATGTCTGTCTGCGATCTTCAATGGCCAATCAGCCCAATCCATTCTGTTGCTGTCTGTTCTCATGTGAGTTCTGGTGATAAGTGCTGGAGGTGCATAACACTTTACTGATAAATAGGTTCTTATAAACTTGTTTTCATGTCAGCGCGGAATTACCACCAATTTTGGTGTATGCGATAGTTTTCTTTGTGAACCGTCTTCCCTCGGGAACGCGATGTGATCGCGATATGCTGTGCCTAAATAAAATCTTGTATTATAACTAAACGGTCTACATTTTACACTGGATTATGCCTCGCAAGTTGTCACGGAATTTACCACTTTGTGGACCCGATGAGGTCCGTCTTGATGATGGGACCATTAGACCAATGACTGAAGTGGAACTGCTTCATCGAAAAATCGATGAGACCGCTGCAGAGGTTCGTACAAAAAGGTTTTGTTCACTCTTTTACCCTATTTTTCTTGTGGAAAACTTTCAGAGCTTAGGGCTTGGATTTATGAAAGCGTCTCGCTCATTTTACCGTTGAACGAGATTTCGTATATCTGTTGGTTGTAATTTTCCGAATCAGCTGTGATTTACAGATCATGTTTCCATTTGGCTTATCCCGGGGAATTTCCGGAGTGCGCAACCTACCGTCGTTTTGACCTTTGCGTGCCAACCATGGCGTTTACTTTCGTTGAGGATTTTTTAACCGGCGGCTTTTGCAGATTCTTTCAATGGTACTCATTCGGTAACAGCAAATGAGGTAAACCTTATTTGTTCGACTACATCCTGTGATGGGGAGAATTATAGGAACAGTTACGAAAGATCCAGTTAATTTATTGCCCTTTCAAAGAGCAGAAGGAAAAGTTCAGTACAGTTAATATCAGATTATTCAGTATGCTTACTTCATGACTTGTGTGAGGCATGTGCTTGGTACTTGTTCACAGGATGAGCAGGATTTTCTTAGAAATTCTAACTAGAATTTTATTTAGTTAAGGGTCTTTGTGCGTTGTCTGTTTGGAATTTCTCCGAGTTGCTGTTCCTAGTTTTTATTGATAGCATTGTCGTGCAGTTTACACCGTCAATTTTGGTTTGCGGTGCTTTTAGCTGTGCTAGTCGGTCGACACACTCGATTTTTCTCCATAGATTTGTCTTTCATTACTTAACCATGTCGCATAAACCTCAAACAGGCTAATACACTAAGCTAGGAATGGGATAAACAAATTATTACCTGCTGTTGAATAATTTCTACTGGCGGCGGTAATGTAAAGAAATCCAAACACAAATTGCTAAGTGAATATACACGCAACTCGATAGTGGTTTATACAATACACAATACAGTCCACAAATAGGACGAGTTTTTGATAATTTGTTGACATAATCATCAGTTACTGAAGATTAGTTTTCGAGTGATATAGTCCTCCGTCACTGTAATACGATATTCGGGCCCTTTCACCGCCGGTCACGTTGTAGTAGACAATAACATGCAATCTTGTTTCGTTAACACGTCTGACCTATTAGTGCCTTAGTGGTTTTACATTACAAGTGGCCATGGTCCCTCTGTGTCCCTAATTTTGTAGTAGACTGTTATGGTCCAGGCTTGCTTTTTCTTACGTACTCTCGTATTTGAGTATGGAATGAAACAATCTCGTCAACACTGTCTATATTCGGTTTGGTGGAATTTGAAAGATGTAAACCAGATATAATCGATCATGGTGTGGTTTAAACAAACGCGTTTTCGCCACCCATATATTTCTGCCTCATGAGCTCTACGAGCCTAGTTACGATGCAACATCAGAAGGATTTCCCAGTGGATCGTCTTAGTTATTCACCTCAAAATACAGGCCACCAGAGCATACCGGGAAGTTTACGTTTTGACTACATAAGGGGAAACCTATGGGACAAGGCCGAACCACCGATTTGGGTTCCAGTAACTTTGTAATTTGATTGGATGATTATTTGCATGCACTGCCTGTTTTGTTTGAGCGACGGTTACATATTCCGAGTTAATTTCATGAATTCCTTTCTAACTTTCCATAGATAACTGTTTCTGATAATCACAAACGGACTTAGTACTTAAGCATTTGAAGCATGGTTTATGTTGCGCGTTTTTAAAATTTATTTTGGCGTTTTCCTTGTTGGAAGGTAGCAACCAAAATCACCGCACTCGGCGCATGTGTAATGGTTGTTCAAACTGAACTGAGCCAGTCCTGTGCCTGGTATAGTACGAATACAATGCCAAGAAATTGTCTCGTGAATTCACTAGCCACAATCCAACTGTGTGTCCACTCGCTGTTCTCGTTGCCACTTGACCATTCAGCAGGCAACTCACGTTAGCAATGTTTTTGAATGTTGACTCAATAAATTTGGTGGTTTGGTTGATTACGACTTAAATGCGAAACCTTGGGACAAGATAGAATAATTGTATATGGCTTGAGTTTTGTGTCATAAGTGGCTAATCAGTATTTTCCCGGCAGGGCTGTGCGTCAATAAGAAATATGTACTCATTTAGTCCAGGTGCCTCGATGCTAGCGGTTTATTATTATTATTGTTATTATTATTATTATTATTATTGTTATTATTATTATTGAAATATATAATAATGATTACTATACACCAGGCCTAGAGTTAGGCACAGCGCCAAATCCACAGATATGAAAAAAGATAACATAGAAAGAAATGTGAATGGTGTGAAATAATTAGAACTCATGCGAATTATTTGGCGTGTCGCGGGTTGTTTAACTGCTCGGTCGTCCAGTGCAGAGAAAAAAAAGGTTGATGGACCCCCGCCGGGTCTTTTTGTCCAAGGATGCATTTTTAACCTTTGCACAACCGAGTGTGGCATTCAAGGCAGCAGATATTTTCCAAGTGAGCCGGCAGCCATTAATGGTTCACGCTCCTCTGGCGACCGTATTTGGTGGAGAGCCACATTCAACATACCACAGTGATGTCCTCAAATATGTTACGTCCTGAGTGGTAGCACTTGACAGGTGAGAAATCCAGAACACCCTTGAGCGTTGCCACTTCCCGTCTGCGGCCGTTTCTTCAACGAGCGTGGGTCCACCCTATCCACGATTTACCAACTTACTAGTGGCCGTTCCTCAGTCCCGCTACCTGGGGACGCGCTCGTTGGCACGCAGTTCTGCTCTTCGTCCGAGATTAGACCATCACACCGAGAATGAACGCTGACGGGAGCTGCACTGCCATACTCTAGCTAATGCCAGTCGATCAACACCGACCATTCTTTTGAAATCGCGGGTATTCTTCAGCATTCAGTATTATAGTTGTATCAATTATATTCATTTATCTCGTCTTTTCACCCTGATTACGATTGCTACTGCTTGTAATGTGTGGTTGATGTTTGTTTGTATCGTACTTAACTTACTACAAAAACTGCATTCAAATATTAGCTGCTGTGTTTGAATCGAATTATTTTGGCTGTCCTTTTTGTCCTCAGATTTTATTACTGAAAGCGTCTTCGTCTGTTGTCCATACAGCAGCGCCGGCATCATGCCTTCGTCGTATGTTTCATTGCCAGATTTCACTTGTGGTCTTGTCTGGTTCATCGTATTGTCCAGATCTTAACTATCTGCTCGAAGCAATGCGGTGACTTTTTTGTAGTTCACCAATTCAACTTTATAGATCCTTCGGCATTGTGAAATGTAGAATGTATTGAAAATAGTACATATTGCTGTCAGAATTCATCTAGTGAAACCTGTAATCTTTGATGCAACGTCGACGGCCGATCTTGCGGCGTTGCGTAAATCCTGAACGAGGTAGTTAGTACGTGTGGTATACATTTCGAACGTTTCTGGCTTTCATGGTATGGATCAATGTGATACGATTTGTTGTCCAGAGCATTCACCGAATGGAGCAAAATGCTACACGTCGAAGTATTTTCATCCATGGCGTGCCCACCGTTTTTTTTATCGCGTAGTTCATAAAAAGCGTCTGACTATTGCTATCGCGGTTTTCGGTGCAACCAGGAGTTCGAAAAGATTAACGGTTTCTCTGTTTCCTTTTCAGTCATTGGAAGCGTCCCGTCGGATGATGGCTCTCTGTGAGGAAGTGAGTCTCTTGTCCGTACAACGTTTTTCCCGTGTAATGTGGTGGTTAACTTTTCTGTTCCTATCTTACCCAGGCTAAAGAAGCAGGAATCTCTACTTTAGTCATGCTAGACGATCAGGGCGGTAAGCACAAATGCATGTTCCGTCTCCTGCCCGTCATCTTTCCGATGTGTTGTTACGTGTTTTGTTGTAAAATACACCCTGTTCTCTAGACTGTGTACTTCCTCAGATAGGTTCAAACTGAAGTAGATATGTGGTGGGTTTTCCATGTTGATAGGAATTCCTCTTAAGTGCAGTCTTATTCCATCCCATTTTGTGCAATTTTCCTAATGCAGTTCACTTTTCGTCTCTACCGGAAAATTTGATGCACCCGTGGTGTGATACCGTCTGATACAACACAGTCACAGGTTTTTCCAGTTTAAACATCGGTTAGTACTAGGTTGCCGGGATTTGGTTACTTAGTTACATTGTCCCGTGGTAGAATAAACACAAATACAGAACTGCTGACGATAAGCACGAGTGCCGTAAGGTGGCTCTTCTTGATTAGAGTTTCACATCTTTACTGCAAAACTCAGAAGTCAGTTTCGGTTCTCTAAGATGTTACAGCATGCCCTGTTAATGGTCATCCACCACATACACAGGCTTCATACTTTTCACTCAAGTTAGACATTCGGATCAAAACTACCTAGTGCTGAATCAGAGTATAACACTCAGTCTACTTAACGAAATATCTGCGCTCACAATCGCACCATTAGACGCCCACAGGCCCATTCCTTATCAGGCATGCATATAGTCCCGTGAAACAACCAGGGCTAGTGAAGGAATTAGAGAAAAATACTGTCACTGAAAAAGCTAAACTAAGGAAAATGGAGCGAAGTCGTCTTTGGAATAAGAAAATTCCCACAAGGTGACCACCACTGGCTGCAGCTTCAGTCGGTACCCGACAAGGCCTCCAGGCATACTGTGTATTTGATTTCCCGAGACATGCAAACCCGGGGCCCGACTGGGATGAACGTGGATTTCGACTCTTTCTGCCACGTCATAACTTGTAATCCATATTTATTTTTCAATCAAGCACTAACTCAACAAGCAAATCACGATTTCTGGGCCAGTATGGTGCATACAGAGCACGTCTGTTAACTAACAGTGAGTGCATATTGATACACAGAAAACGCTAAGATGAACGGTGGTTTTGCCTAAAGTTTCCAACCAAACTGTGGATATTGCCAATCAGCGTAAATGGAAACACACATCCCATCTTCCTCTGTCGTCCGAGAAGTCCAAGTCTGCAGGCGTGAAGAAGCACGCAAACCTTGCATTCTGACTGAAAAGAACTACAACATTCTCCAGATGACAGTGTCCTGCGGATAATGAAGACTCGATCAACTCACCCACAGTTAGGACGAACGTGTACCGGTTCCTCCCGTATCTTTTGTTAGCATTTCGGGGGCAGATTATCACAGGGGCAAATTGCTTCCATACTACGATAACCAAACTCTTTCCGACCGCCAAAAATCGTGGTAATGATATTGGGATTCCAGCTGGGCAGGACATCGCTTGGAAAGAGCGGTGAGCTCTCACCCCACCGTCCTTCAGGTGAATCGGGGAATGTTCATATGAGCCAAAAACCTTGTGGTGCTTAAGGAACTGAAATGTATGGGCGGTCTCTGTCCTTGCGGGGTGGTGAATGAAGACTATACACGAAACGCGAGTCTAGAAAACTAAGCGATGGTCATTTGAATTGTTACTTGCGTTGCTCCGCCCAGCAAGCAGGACTGTAGCCATGGCTATTTGGACCTTATATGGTTCTCCACTGCAAGTTTCAGGGACTATCCCTAATAGTGCAGCGGGCACTTGTGTGCCCTCATGCGAAAGCATACAGTGATCTCTGATTACGAGGAGATTGTAGAGCTAGTAGTGGTTGTAAGCGATGGGTTTCAGGCCTAATGGATCTATGGGAAACGTAATGCTCCAAAATCTTGATTCTGCGAGTATTTAGGTGCTTTTACTGCCGTGGAATGTGACCAAATTTACCAGATTCGTCACAAGTAACCGAGGTTTCTCTAATGGCCTTCTTCTGAGGTGCCAAAACGGGTATGTTGTCCAGACAAGCAAACGTAGCTACTGGAATTTCTTTTCGAATGATCTGATCAAATAAAACAGGAGCAGGAGACGCCGTTAGTGATCCCAGAATGAATCGGACGGATCTGACAGAGCTAATGGACTTCGAAAGCCGTTTATTGTTAATCTTTAATGTGTATCTGGTGGTATGCGCTTTTTGAGCGCATTTTGCGGAATACCGTATATTGAGAGATCTCTTCTATCATCTCATTCATTTTTGGCGAAGGGTATGCTTCAAGGAGGGCGAAAAGAATAATCGTCTGGCTGTAATTAACGTCCGTTCTTTTTTGACGCTCATTAGACGTAACAAGTACCCATGCACACCGGAGCGAATGGACGGGTTCTGCGACGTCGTCTTCCGGTGGCTTTCGTATTTCTGTTTTGAGGGGTTATTCGTCTGTTGGAGAATGACTACGCGATTTCTTCGCTGTTGGGTAATGATTAGGAGAGATATTGCTGAACACATGAGGTTTGGACGTTGATATCAGCGTCATTACACAGAACATAAGTCTTTGTTGCTAGAGAAAGGAATTTCTTATTTTTGGGTGAAGTTGTAAGAAATCATGGTTGAGAAGGATGTCAGAACAAGGATTGGTTAGCACTGAAGGGTTGACATTTTGATAACGCTTATTGGTGTAAGATAAACTTACAAAGCAATGCGCTAGAGTGAAACTTTTAAAATATGCGGAAGCCACAAAATATTACTGCTGTAAGTCACTACTTTCCAACTGTATTCCCTAAATGCAATGTTGTGTACGTAGCTCTCAGAACTCTCGATATCCCTGTAAGCCTGGAGTATTACACCGTCCGAAAAACGTTTGTGACAGCACAAGTCAAGCACAACGAAACAGCGGCGAGTGTTGTTGCAGATATTAGAGAGCTCCAGACCGGAAAGAACGTAGATTCGGGATTGGACGGGAAAACTTTTTGAAAATTCCCTTTCCTTCCACAACGTTTATAGATAGCGTCTTTCGCCGAACACTAGAGACGTGGGTGCCTGGAGTATCCACAAAACAAACGTGCATTGCTTATCGCAGATGTATATTCTTCCTGTCACTGAGGTTTATCATGATTCGAGGCCTGATTCGTTTTCAGTATGATATCGACATCAGGTATCGCAGCAGAATAAATGGATTTGACAGAACAAAAGGCACCAGACTGTTTGTGTGCCGTTTCTTGAGACCTTGTTAGCTCGCCAGACGTTTTCAGATCGAGGGTGCACGTGATGTTGACAGCATAAAACATCACACCATTTTTCGTAACATTCTCGCTCGCACGGCGCTTCTTGCCGTTCATCACCGGAGGAAATCGGTTAGGCGCCCGGACGTTACTTTTTTCAACAGTCTGTTTCATCTCCCGCGTATTAGCAGACCAGTACTTGTGGCCTCTGTGTAGACTTCTTAAGCTCTGTTCCTAACTGTGTACATGTGGGCAAAGCGATCCTCACTGCCTTCCGGACCGTACTCAGCCTTTCGCAGGCGCATTTTACTATGCTCGAGAAACGATACCGATTTAAAGTTGATATCATCATCTCTGAATGAGCATTGAAGCATACAGAGTTGTGACCAAGCGGCTTGGTCATAACGAGGTGTCGAGAAAAAAATTTCTCGGGTGATGTTGCTAAGCTGAGGGAAGAGTTTGCCTCCTAGCCTCAAAGGTTACTGCTCTGTTACGAATAACCGGCAACGAGAGTTAGAGTGTAGAATTACGTAAGATCCCAATAGGTAAGGTAAAGTAGCCATCCGGATGACAATCGAATACTGTCGACCACCATTAGCACGACATCTGTTGATCTATTTCTGGATTGTCACGGCTTCAGCGCGAAAAACCATAATTCAGCCTATTGGATGCAACAGGTTTGATGTCAAAACAAAGCGGGTTCGTCATACATAGTGGTTGCAGGCGCAGAGAAGCTCTATTGCTACCTTACGTTGACGAAGGGAATTACAGTATTTGATGCTCTCGATCGATTGAAAGATCTGGTGAAGTAAAACCATGTATCCGGATTGTTGTCAAATAAAAGTACAAACCTGAACTTTATTGCCTTCATTTTAGTCCTTGGGATGCTACATCATAAATACCGCATACAAATCAACAGCCAGCCCTAGTATAGATTTTTGGGAGCACATTCTGTTAAAGTGAACACTGAACAGCCCGATATTGAAGTAGCTTTTGACAGTGCTTCTGCGCATCGGAGGGCATCGGAAGCTCGCTTAACCATTGCTGTTTTCTTTCCCCCTGTGGTCTGTCTTTCAACTCTATCATGGAGATATTTCACCACTTGAGAAGTTTTGGTAAGAGAGCAAACACAAACTCATGGGAGTACTACAGGGACTGTGCCATAATACAAAACTGCGAAATTTTCCCCACGTATCTATTCACGATATCACTTTAGCTGCATGTACTTCCTACGATAGACACGGTTACATATTCAAGCACCGATCCAGAGACCAGCACGGAGAGAAGCAGTTTACCGGTCTGAAAACCTCCACTAAATGGACGTGGAAGTGAAGTATTTGGGGTTTCTCTCGACGGCGGGAGAAGTGATCGCACTTCATTGGGCAGCTATCGACCGCCTAAGCTGGGCAGCCCCCAGCCCAAAGGATACTGCCCCGTCCACGTTCTGCTTGCTCCGTTAGTGCATGGGGCTAAGGACTAAATCCAAAAAGCGGATCAATAACAAAGCACCAGCGAAGACGAGACAAAACGCATGCAGTAGTCAGATCTCATGTGACAGACCAGAAGAAGTCCCTTCACGGGTTATTCGGTCACGTTCCCGTGCTGGGTTACCGCCCCACTGCCTTGTGGGTGAGACTTTTGAGTCAAAGGCTCCGGTTAGGGTTCTCAGAGAAAAAAACCGTTCTGTGGTGTGGGCAGCTGCGAGGTATGACTTGCCCAGAAATCTCCAGCGGTCACTCGGGAAACACTCCTTATCTCTGCTCTTCATCCTTTACGTTCCAATGCTAAATGCGTACGAGTAGCCACAATGAGTCGTGACTGTG